GGATTCAAAGTACCAAACGTTGAGTCCTATGACGGGACGACCGACCCGTATGAGCATATCGACTACTATAGAACCATCATGCATATTCAACGAGCATCAGACGCACTCCTTTGCCAAGTTTTTCCAGCCACCCTTAAAGGACAGGCTCAAACGTGGTTTTATTCGCTTCCGTCCAGAATAATCCCTTCATTCGTCAAATTAGCCAAACTATTCGTTGAACAGTTTGTGGCTAATCGAATAATTGCTAAGGATTCTTCCCATCTCTCCGGGATTCGCCAAAATGAGGGAGAATCGTTGAAGGAGTATTTTCAGCGGTTTTCCACCGAGGCTCGACAGATTCCAGGAGTAGACCCTGAATTACTCAGAGGGGTCTTTCTTGGAGGTCTTCATCCTGGCCCCTTCTATTCAGCACTCATGCGTGACACTGTTCATTCATATGCTGACCTGATCCATCGTGTGGAGACGCAAATTTCTGCAGATGAAGCTATAAATGCTCACAGGAAGCAGTTTGAGCAAATCAACGGGAAGTGCAAAGGTGGACCTGGGATGGACAATTCATTCTCACAATAGAAAAAGCAAGGGAAGAATAATCTACCTTCTAGGCCTCCATTACCGTAATGGGAACCTCGACAGAAAAGGAGTACACCCCACTCAAAAAATCTCGAGCAAATGTATTGATGGCCGTTCGAGATCAAGATACATTAAAATGATCGAATCCTTTGAAGTCGAACACAGGAAATTCAGATCAGTACTGTCACTTTTATCGTAGTCGTGGTTACACTACCGAAGTCTGTAAGCAACTCAAGAATGAGATTGAAAGACTTATCCGCCAGGGCTACCTTCGACAATTTATTCAAGATTCACCTACCCGAGAGGAAGCTCGTCCCGCTAGGGGGCAAAGTCAACAATAAAGACAACCATTAAATAATATTCAAATGGTTGGAGAGATTGAATGAGCACGCACTTCGTGCATTTGTATTAGTAATACTACTTGTCTTGTTTCATCGTATCTCTTTTATGTTGAGTAGGGTATCACTTTGATATCTCTAATGTTTTCTTCCAAGTTAAACATTATGTTGTCCCCATACGTAGATCTTATGTGTTGAGTACGTTGTAACCTTTATATCCCCAAGTCATATTAGGGAATTATTGTACTGTTTTATATAATACATTAATATGATGTTCATGTTGTTGTGATATTATTTTTTCTTATAAAAGATAAAAAACTTCTCAAATTCTTTTTCCATGATTCGAGAAATACACAATCTATATTGTATCTCAATCACCGGATGGTCAATCCCAGGGGGATTCTCTCGACTTCTTCCACATAGGTTAACGTCATCGAGCAGGGCTCCAACATACAACCTCGGATAGGTCTTACATCCTTGGTGGATTCTTTCGACCACTTTCACATGGGTTAACGTCATCGAGCAGGGCTCTGACATACAACCTTGGATAGGTCTTTCATCCTTACTGTATTATCTCAACATCTTTCACACAGGTTAATGTCATTGAGCAGGGCTCTGACATACAACCTCGAATAGGTCATATGTTATTGATGTATTCTCTAGACCTCTTCTATAGAGATTAGCATCATCGAGCAATGTTCTGAGTGAATAATGTTCTCTCTAGAAAGACTCCAAGAAAGCAAGTGATTGATAAAATCATCACTCCAAAAATATCGGGGGCAATATATCAAAAGCATGTGTTAAAGATGCAATCATAATTCAGCTTTTTCCAAAGAACGAGTTCTCAATTTCATATACAACATCACTAGAGTTACATTGCAAAAATTGTACATCAAGTTCATTTTTGCAAGAATCTAAAAGTAAAAAGGTACATTGGTATCATCCGTACAAGTTACAATCATCAAGCAACAAGAAGCTTTAAAACGGTTAAATATCCTTTGTGGATTCAAGTGACCTCTTCTCTATTATGAATGGATGAATTTCCTACAACTTCTTCTTTAAAGAAAGATTACAATTTGATCTTCATCAAACCTCAACTCAGTTGATACTACAAATGTGTCGTCATACTACTAACATAGCACACAGCTTTGGTTCCTTGAATCAGAGATATTTGATGTCGGCAAATTTCCATATGGATGTTTATTATCTTTGCAAAATGCCACTGTACACTTGCCATTATCGGACATTTATCTGATATTTGTCGGCGGCCCTTTACTTTAGCCATCATTGGACTGTCGCTCGACTGCTACTTGCAATGCACCTTTGAACTCTCTCCTTCAGCTCTCCACTCGATCGTCCATAGCCGACAAACATCCGCTCGAACAACATCAAAATTCTCCTCGTCTACTGGCTCTCCTCCTGGATACTATTGATGCCAGATTTTCTCAAATCACCCTCGCATACAAGCAGCAATTGATCTACTTCTATCATGGGTTGTCTATTTAGAAGATAGCCTCTCATCGCAACTTCTTCTACACAAAAGAGGGGCACCGAAGCTTGATAAGGGAATGCCACCTATCTCCGACAGTGGAATGCCTCCAATGCAAGAAGAAGAGCACAAGCGAAGAACAAGGAGAAAAAAGTCTCCTTCTACACAAAAGAGGGGCACTGAAGTTTGATAGGGGAATGCCGCCTATCTCCGACAGTGGAATGCCTCCAATGCAAGAAGAAGAGCACAAGCGAAGAACAAGGAGGAAAAAAGTCTCCTTCTACACAAAAGAGGGGCACTGAAGCTTGATAGACGAATGCCACCTATCTCCGACAGTGGAATGCCTCTAATATAAGAAGAAGACTAGATGAAGAAAAAAGGAGAAGAAATTCTAACTTCTATACACTGATAGGAGCCTTGAATTTTAGTAGGGGATGCCGCCTACAATGAACAGGGGAATGCCTCAACTGTCAGAAAGTTAGAATGAGGGAGGAGAAAGAAAAGAAACATATGCAAAAATCTTCAACTTCTGCGTGAGAAGAGGGGCGCTGAATTGAGTAGGGAAAGTCTCTTACTCAAAAACGGCGGAAAGCCTCAACTGTCAGAAAGCCAGAGGGGGGGAGAAGAGGAGAAGAAATCTCCAACTTCTGCACAAGAGGGGTGCTAGATTGAATAGGGAAAGTTTCATACTAAAAAAACAGCGAAAAGCCTCAACTGTCAGAGAGCTAGAGGAAGAAGAGAAGGGACAATTTTTCTAAAGGCCTTAGGGGCCTATTTATACTTTTTTGTAAGAGGAAGGGAAAGTTTCTAGCATTCTCCAGAATTTTTTTGAAATTTTTTGGAATTTTTTGGGATTTTTTCAAATTTTTGTGGGATCCACTCATTTAAAAAAAATGTTAACTGCCCTTAACCGCATACGGCTAACCGCGCGGTCAGCATACGCGCCTCTTGGCGCGCGGCGCGGGTGCCGCCGCCGGCGTCGGCGGCCGGCCGGTTAGGCCGCCTAAGTGTGTCCGGGCCCTATTTTCGGCCCGGACAGTCCAAATTCGACGTTTTTTGAGTCCCCAGACACGTTTTTCAATGTTCCAGACTCAATTTTGACACTTCCGGAGCTCAACGAGACCTCTATAATCAAGTTTGAGCAAGCAATTAATTTTCGGAACACAATTTTTGGCGATTCGGCCAATGCAAATTGTCGACGCATATATTTTCGGACTTATGGAGCTTCGACGTTCGAAAATAGGGGGGCAATTGATACGTCATGCAAAAATTATCTTGATCGGGCACGAATCTCGAGGCAAAAAATCAAGTTGGAAACTTCAAAAATTAAATCCGGGAGCTCTTGAACTCCGATTTCAGGGATAGTCAAATTGAGTGTCTCGGAAATACAAACTCAACGACACCAAATTCAACTCAATCTGAGCCCAAATGAGCCCAAATCGAGCACCCGAAGCACTGTTGGAAAGTTCATACCACAGTTTGAGTCGTCAAACGGTCTACGATTTTGATGGGCTTATAGTCGAATCGAGCGCCTCGATGAGACGAACCAACATCATTAAGGCCATCAAATGTCTGACGAATGGTGTATGATCAAAGGATTCAATATTAGCCGTCCATTCAACCACTCCTTATTTGCCTTTGATCTCACGCCTATTTACGAGCTATGCCACTCCAGAAAAATTATAAATAGAGCCTTCATTTCTCAGGAGAGGGGACTCAAGCAAGAAGAATGGAAGAAGAAGAATAGAAGGAGAAGAGAATCAGTTCCTCGTCCACCGCCAGAGTTCTTCCCGCCGCCTGAACAAAACTGGAATTCTGTCGGATTTTTGGGAGACGCCGGAACTCTGCACAACTTTGTAATTGAATTTCAATTTAGGAGAAACTCATTGTAATCTGATCGTCCTAACTTGTGGGACGAATCAACCTTCTGTATCTCAAACGACACTAGTGGAACTTTTCAACTTGGCGCGGCGTGGAACTTTTCAACTTGGCGCGGCCCCGTGGTTTTTCCCCTTTTCAGGGTTTTCCACGTAAAAATCTTGGTGTTCTTTTATCTTCTGTTTGTGTGTGCTGAATATTCGTACAACGCTCGGACGTAAAATTACAAACTCTACCGCCGCGTATATTATAGCCCGCAACAATTATTATTATTATTATTAAATCTATCCATGATAAATGAAAAAACTGAATATCATGATGTAGACTAAATAATGAACTACGAAAAACTTTCAGGCCATAAACATGAAGTTAAATGAAGTGGAAGGCAAAGATCTGAGTGGAAGGTGATGCTTTCAGATTTAGTTTAACATGTTTCATGTGTTGTCTTCTCTATGATTTTGAAATAAATCTTCATCTCTGTTGTGATATTTTATTTAAATGACTTAAACTTAAGGATATATTGTAGAAGGTACTAGGGACTGCTTTGGAGTCTAACATTTTTATATGGATTTGCCATAAGAACTTCATTGTGGAGGTTCTTGGGTCATTTGGCTTTAAGCTCTGTCAATGTTCATTAGCATAAATGTTCTTTTCACATGACAATAGCCTTATGAAGCATGCATCAGTATTTTTATAATCTTTATTCTCTCCAATTTTACTGGCAGATTAATCCCAAGAAGCCTCTCACCTGGTTAAGCGGATATTATGAAACCGTTCGCGTGGACCCTGAACTCTTTCCAACGGACGAGGAAACAGAAGAACCAATATGGAACTTCTACAAGCGTATCACTTCCTTGAAATTTGGCAATGAAGAAGAAACTTACGGACCTTTTGGCAGCGTGAAAGGCACGCCTTTCTTATTTCGTGGAAGCACTGAGATTGTAGGCTTCCATGGATGCAGCAACGAGGGCAGCTATGGCCACATCAGTGCTATGGGAGTCTACTTCAAAACTGAGGCTGTCGGTGTTATTGGTCAGCCTTCAAACCCAGAAGAGTCTGTTGAAGTGATTGAAGAAAAAAAACCTAAGTCAGTATCCGGAGTGCTTTTACCCTAGTTTATATATTAGAAGAGAGAGAGAGAGAGATTCAGTAATTACTAGTAGAAGCTGAATGAACGCCATGCATTAGCTGATGTTGTTTTTGCCTATGTCGACTGTTATGGCTTATTACATTACTTATATTAAGGTGATAATTTTATTTTCTATAGTGTCATGTTTGAAATTAGTTCAAGTAATACGTGAAATTTGAATGAACCAAAAAATGTGATAATTCATTGATAGATGGTTGCGATTAGGGGTGTCAATATTTGATATGACACGAAAATCCAACTTGGAAATTTCAGGTTAGACCCGACCTGTTTCCAAAACAGGTCAGTTTCGAGTTCCATGATTTGACCAGTTTGAAAAATGGGTTGGGTTAGGGTTGACTTGACGGGTTGCCGATACCGGCCCGCTCTCGTCCGAGTCCGAGCCGGCGTCCGCGTCGTGTCCGAGCCCGCCTTCTCGTGTCGGGTCGGGTCAACCCGGCAACCGGCTAGGTCGGGTCCGGGTTTGGATTTCCAACCCGTTTTCCTACCCGGGTCAGGTTAAGGTCAACCTGTTTGAACTCGGTTCAGTTCCGAGTTCGACCCGAACCCGTCCGGTGACCCGCAATTGACACCCCTAGTTGCGATTGAGAAATAGAAGGTACAAAAGTCATGAGAATGGTAGAGAATATACAACATCAAACTTTTATATCATTATGGGTTGGTTGCTTGAAATTTTTTTTTCAATTGTCATATTAAGAGTTAAATTTTCATTTAAATCTAATAAAATAGTTCATTTTTAATATTTTTTAATCAAGTTTATATAGGTTTCTTTTCCTTTTTTAGCATAGATCAAGCCTAATACATATACTCTCTTAATGGGTCATCAAAATGCCAATGTTTTGTGTCCAGTCCATCTATGGGGACTCTCTAATATTATGTATCACTGGAGCTACTCCACTACTCCAATCTTTTCATGTATATGCTTATCTGGCATTCTATTTTTTAGAGTGAAGCCACTCATCCGCCTGAGAATATCCTCATATCAGCAACACTTAACTTAATTTTATGTTTCTCATTTAATAGCCAATATTCTGCACAATAAAGTATAGTAGGTAGTACCACCGTCTTATAAATTTTTCCCATAAGTTTGAGGATAATGTTTCTATCACACAATAGGCTCGATGCATTCCTCCACTTCAAACATCCAAGTTGAATTTTGCGAATAATATTCTCATCTATTTTATCATCACTTTGAACAATAAACAAAGATATTTAAAATGTTTACTTTTATCAATGACGATCATCGAAGTCATAATTCCCCACTAGATATATTACTACTAAAAATCATTGTTATTAAAATCAGACTGGACAGGCCAATTAAACTGGTTGAATCGCAAACTGATCAGCTTATTGGTTTGGTTTGAATATGAAATTGGATTTGTATAGAACCATCCGATAACCGCTCAAACTAGTGATCGAACCGAAGAACCGAGTCCGATTTTCCAAAACCACGTGATTTAAGCAAAAGAAAATCAGAGCCGTTGGATTTTAATCAAACGGTCCATATCAAAATAAAAAAAAAAACAAATATTCCTATTCCATCCCACAAACTGTCATTTTGTTTGACATTTCACATTTCTTCCTCTACAATGGGAGAAATTATTCTGTGTGGAATCCGGCCACAGAGGTTTGTTCGGTTGCCAATAAAAATATTACGCGTGTTCTGCTTACGTGGAAAGTTAAGACCCGACCCGTTTACTGCAAACTTCGAGACACCCGCTTGCCCATCGAATTTAACAGTAAAAAGATGAAAAAGGCGAAAAATTTTTACATTTTCACGTTTCGGTCATTCGCTCCAGTTCTCCCGAGGTTTCTGTTTCTGCAAAAATTTCTTCTCAAAAACATACAGCAATCTCTTCTGCTCAAATGGAGGAGGGAAAGGATTCACCAGGAAAGAAAAAGGTATGTTAATTCTTACATTGACATAAAATGTACTCCGTATTTCTTTGGTATTCAATGTGTATTTTTCGAAAAAACAAAAAAAAAAAATAAAATCATTCTGAGAACGAGAACGATAAAAGATTATATTTATCTCACCTTTTACGTTCTTTCTGCATATATTCTTTGTATATTATGTGTTTATTCTGCATATATTTTGCTTATTTTCCGTGTATATGTTGAAGACTCAAACCCTAACATTTTGTAATAAATCCCTTGGATCTTAAATCATAAAAATAAACTTCCAATAAAGAAAAATGATTAGCGTAAATAATTATTGATTTATGCTGATATTTTTTATACTCTTTGCGTACCGTATGCGTATACTATGCGTATGGTTTGCGTATATTATGCATATATAATGTGTATACTATGCGTATAATATGCGTATGGTTTGCATATATATTGTGTTTTATATGCGTAATTAATTTTATTTTCTTAATTTACACAGATTTACGTCCGTCCTATATCGTATCACTGCTATGTTTCAACGTTTAGAACATTCTGTGATACATTCTCCGAGATAATTCCTCCATAAATTGAAGAAAATTTGAAGAACCTTAATATCTACCAATTTCTTAAATTTCTTGGATTCGAGCAGAACGCCCCATTGATTTACCAGCTCATGACAATATGGAATATTCGAAAGCAAAGTTTTATTATAAAGGGTCATGTTTTACCTTTCACGATTGAAGAAGTGGTCCTCCTAACTGGTCTTCCTAACAAAGGTGAGGTGATTACATGGCTTACCTTGCCCACTTCAACCATCACTTCCAAGGATATAAAGGCTGAAATGTTTGAGTTGACTTGAGAAAGCGCCCCAAAGACAATGTTGAAAACTTTTATTATGTATTTATGTTCAAATTTATTTTTCCAACAAAGCAACTTCAAAGTCCCAAGGTTGTTAAAAACAATATCAAATAATATTGATGATTTTTCATCAATCAACTGGGCATAGTCGATTTGGGAATGTCTGGTAGAAGAATTTAATAATGTTTCTATGAAGATCTCAAACAACAAGCCAGCAGGGTACATCAATGGTTTTGTGCCTCTGCTAATTGTGAGTGCTAAAACAATTCTAATTTAACATTTAATTTGATTGATTGATTTGCTAAAATTTACTTTTATTTTATGCAGGTTTGGTTCCTAGAGCACACTTCAATTCATTACCCGAAGTACCCTGAGAGAAGGCCACGTTTCCTTCGATAGGCTGATGACATAGTATATAATACTGAGAAGACAACTAAATTATTTGTTAATTTAAAGAGAAAATAGGTACAAATTATGAAAATATTGATTACATATTGCGTATGGAGTGTGTATGGGTGTGTATGTTTCGCATATGTATTGCGTATGTTTCGCGTATATCTTGCGTATGTTTCGCGTATGTCTTGCGTATGTTTCGCGAATGTCTTGCGTATGTTTCGCGAATGTCTTGCGTACATAATACGTATAGATACGCAATAATGAAATTATTTGATGACAAATTTGCTTACAAATTAATTTTTCACAGATTTTCGTTGACCTCGAAGGAGTTACCCCTGAAGAAGCTAATCTTCTGGGAATCAAGAAATATCCATCAAGACCTTATTCTCCCATTCGTTTCAACACACCTGAACATGATCTCCCCCCCCCCCCCCCCCCCCTTCCCCCCCCCCCCCCCCCCCCCCCCAATCTCCCCAGCAACCCCAATCAACTCTTCTGGAAGAGAAAATAATGAAACTTGTCCAGGATACCTGCAAAAATCTTTTTCAAGAACTTGAACCTAGACTGAGCAAGAATTTTGAGCAAATTGTGAAAGAGTGGATCTTATTTACAACAAGCTCCAAAATTATATTGTGCAAGGCAATCTTAATGCTGATTAGCAAGCTGCTCCCTCCTCATCATCATTCATTCCCCATAAAATGAAGAATATTCGGATATCATTTGAACGCACAAAGACCGACGCCGATGAGAAAATCAATGATATTGAGATGACTAAGGATGCTGACCAAGAGATGACCCAGGCTGCTGAAAAGGTTTACAAAAAGCAGAAATTGGATAGAAAATCAATCCCAAAGAAAAACAAGAAGCGGAAAAGGGTACACCACCCCCAAGAAGAACCTGCCCAAGAAGAGCCATCACAGAAAGTTCAATTCCCCAAAGCACCTCCCCTAGTAGAACCATCCCATCAAGTACCATCACCTTCCAAAGAAGAACCTGCCAAAGAACCTCCTCCAGTAGAACCATCCCCAAAAGAACCTTCTCAAGTGGTACCATCCCAAAAAGAACATCCCTAAGAAGAACCTCCCCAAGAAGAACTAACCCAAATTGTTCCTTCCCAAGTAGAAACATCCCTAATTGTTCCATCACCAGAAGAACCTACCCAAAAACCATCCCCAAATGAACCTCCGGAAAAAGAACCTTCCCAAAAAGTTCCACAACCAAAAGAAGTAATCAATGTTGATAATGTTATAGTAAAAGGTTTTCCTGCTAGTCCTACAGTGAACTTCAATGGCTTGGAGATGTTGAGTCTAGAGAAGGAACTTTTTATCAGGGAGAACATAAAGAAATATCTTGACATGTATTTTATTTGCGTATTGTGTGCGTAATGTGTGCATATGGATTACGTCATTTGTGCGTACTGATTGCGTAGGAAATGTGTTTTATATGCGTACCTAATGCGTATTTTTTGTTTAATGATTTCAGTAGCATGCCAATATTTCAAGCTGGGAACGTTATAATTTCAAGATGTGGGATGGACGAAATATTATCCGACGGTTATCTTGACAATGACCATGTTGATTCCTTTGTCATTTTATTAAATGAGAAGGCTAAAATTTCACCAGAAAAGTATCATAAATTTCGATACATCTCACCAATGTATTGGGTTAGTATACTAGCTTATTTTATATATAATTATATATTTCGACTATTTTATTCTTATATTTAATTCTTACAGCATTACAAGTTGAAGGATGAAAGTTTAAAATTGTTCATCGAACAAGTAAACTACAGTTCTGTTCATTCATGCAACATTATACTTAATCCAATTATTGACGGGTCGCACTAGACC